CATTATTTTCAATACACTTCATTTCGGCCTTTATTATTATTTCCAAAATATATATTTAATACCTTCATGCCCAGTATTTTCAATATCAGCTAACACATACTTCTAGAAAAGCTTTTATAATGTTGCTTAAGCTTAATAAGTATATAGCTTTTGCTGGAAAGCCTTGTTCCAACGCTTCTGGCCAGAAGTACCAACTTTTTTTTGTATCTTTAATAAGAGAAGGTCATAAAACAGAACTCTAATAGCACAGGTGAAAGCATAATTCACTTCTGAAAAAAAAACAAACTTTTCTGGATCGTCGCATATTGCACTGACCATTGTTCATCACGTACTGCAACTCAGTTTTGGTATTTCCGATGAACGATTCCACGCACTGATCTTTGTCTACCATACCTTTCACGAAAACCCGGCCGGTAAATGGTAGGGCTGTCCGGAACGACAGCTTCATCCGATCCTCCATGCATTCTACTTCCGGGACACCTGATTTCGAAGTTTTTAAAACTTATTTAGATATAGCGGGAACTTCTGACACTGGGCAGCTTGACCGTGAAGTTAGTGCAAATGTCTACCACGTACTTGAAAATCTAAACAGAAAGAGTATCACTTTATAGATTTCTATCGCTCTCCATCATTCAGTTCAATTAAAGCACAAACCATTTTTTGGATAAATAATATTAAAAATGGAATTTAAATTAAAGTTTCGGGAGAAATCGAAGATTCAGCATCGCCTAAGATTAATAATGGTCGCTTTTAACGATACTGAAGAATGATAACATTTTTCAGCTTCATTAAATATGAAAAACAAAGACCTACATTGAACATTATCACTAAGAATATTGATATTTTTGGTAATAATTTTCGATGTAATATTTTCAACGGTATGTATAATTTATCACAATATTACTTCTTGGGATATTTCATTTGAACAGTCGGTGTCTGCAAACTGTTATTATTTTTTATCATTATTTTTAAAAATTTATTTCAAGTATTTTTATTTCTGTTACAAGCTATTATATTCATGTGTGCTTGTAGTGTTCGGTTTATTATCAAAAGATTTCATTTAATAGATTGTCATAGATTTATTTAAAAGCAAAATAAGAATTTACCAAAAACTTACCAATAATGCCGTTATCGAGGTAAGCGGAGGAGCAGAAGCAGGGCAGAACAAACACTGCTGTAGCAAGAATAGCAGAAATCATTTATTATTTTTTTGGACAGAACTTTTTGTTTTCAAAAATTTTTCAAAAATTTATTTGAGAAATTTCTACTATATGTAGGCCTTCTTTTTGACCGTTTGGATTGTGAAAGTTGGTAGTGGTAGGTGAGAAAGTTTCCAACAAATGAGAAATTCAAATCCCGGAGAACACTCAGCTCCTCCTCCTTCTCCGGATGCTTCAAAAATGGAGTGGCAGGTAATCCAATTTTGGTCACTTTTATTATTATTTATATATAAGTGCAAGAACCTTGAAAATAAGGCGTGGCCAGTGCCATGAGAGAGAAAGAGACAGAGGTAAGAAGTAAAAAGTTTTCCCAGCGTCATTCATAGCACTCGGACAATCAGTGCTTTAAAAGAGAGGATAAGAAGTAAAAAAAGATGAGCTACCGGCAAGCACTGATGCGCATGTGTAAGGAAACCAAATGTCAATAAAGTGAACTTCAATTTCCCGCATCAACCTGTTATTAGCTCAATCCCTCATTTGTTAAAGTCACAAAATAAATGAAAAATAAAGAAATAACTAAGCCAGCTTACAAAATTCATTTACTTTTTTGTTATTAATACGGAAATTTGCATTATCCCAGAAAAATGGACGCCACCCGTTTAAGACACGTCGGATTTTTGTCTTTTCTGAACAGAGTTGAAAATCTCTTATTAATTTAGGGACGAATGGATTGAT